TAATAAAACAAATCCTCGGAGTCTAAAGGGACGAAAACTATGTCTGCGATAAATGATACTCGTCGATATAATCGTCATGACCCGAAACGAGCTACAATATTGCTTACAATTTGCATCGTTCAGCCCAACTCCTATCTTTAGCTATTTCGATTGCGTCATTAGCATCGACCTTTCTTTACAGCTCAAGGTAAGCACGAGTAAAGTACGAGTCGCATAGAGCGAAAGGCATTTCGTGTAAATGTGACCTTAAACTTTCCGTGTACGTTAGGCGTTTCCCTCGGATATACGGTGCCATGCACGTGGGCACGATTGTAATTTCCTGGGACAATAATTTTCACCTTGGCTCTTCGCGTTTCCCTCTTGCGCCGCGCGTCAGGTGCTTCATTTTTTTTTTTTTTTTAAACGTTTTTCCGACGCGAAAATTGGCACGGAACAACCCTTTAAAAATCGCTTGATTCCCTGCGCGCGAATACCCGCTTCGTCGCGCGAAACTTTCGTCGACCGTTTTCCCTCTCTCGCTAATAATGAAGTTTATCGAGAGTCATTATGATATAACGGAGCACTAATGAGTACACGAATTTCACCGTGCACGGTGCTTTTATTACGTTATATTGACCAACATTTAATTACAACTTCTTCGCGTTTATCGATACACGGTACTAGAGCGGAAGCAGAGTGCGAAACACAGTTACGCAAAAGTTCGCCAAGGTAACTAAAAACAGTAACGAAGACAAATACGGCATGATACTTTCCGACACCCTGCTTTGTTACTGTTTTATTTGAAGAAGATGATTGTTGATGAATCAATATTTGCGCGAGTATATCAATCGAATCGTATATGATTATGATATTCTAACGTGTGATTAGTACACGTACAAGTACACGATGAATGGATTGGATTTAGTTTAATTTGTTCTACGTTAGAGAAGATATTTAACCCTTTGCACTTCCAGAATGTTGTTTATATATTTCCTCGAAAGTGCTCGATTTCCCACAAACATTTATAAGTGTACGTAATTTAGGTTTCGTTAATTTATTTCGTTGGTTCAGTTCGTATTACCACAAATGAAATTGAAATTGAGTTGTAATGTATGAGATATATGCATATACATTATAAAAAATATATTTCTTTCGAAACATGATCAGGACATAAAACACGTTTAACAGTAAAAAGAGAAATGATTTCGTAGTTTGTCTCGATTAGCTACGTGCTCTCCATCCTTACAGATCCGAAAATAGATGAAACGGAGTAGAGGATTGCTAGCATTGATCGATTACTTTGACTGCGTCGATGTAATGGGAATGATTGCTCGAATCAAACAAAAAGAAACTCGGAAGAGAACTCGAAGCCAATAAGCGCCGACTATTCCAGTCATACTGCTGCGACGTATAACAAAAGTCAGTGGCTGCTCGATGCCGAAGCATTATGTATTCATAACTTAGATCGATAAATACCAAACGCTTGCCCCGTTTCATACCTACTTCTAGGGAAAGTAACCGTTTCGTTTTACTTTGTAGCGAGCGCGTCGGTACGGTGAGAAAAATAATACAACGTTGGAAAAGAGGGAGGACGTCTGTTTTGCATGGTAATCGAATTCAAACAGGATACTACCCAGCCACTGCAAAATTTATAAACCATCAACACAGAAAATATTCTGACCCTGAATGTTATTCCCAAAGTAGGGTAACAAACTTTCCCTAGGCGGCAAAGTTTCTATGCGAAAATGTATTAAGGCATTATTTATGAAATCTCGACAGGATAGAATTCTCGATGAGCTACTTAGAAACAGAGATGTATAAAACTCCTCGCTTCGATAAATATTTCGAATAACGAACGAAGAACGAACTACTCTCGATCTGTTATTCGTTTGTTAAAGATTACAATTGTAAGTCAAGTTTTGAAAAAATTACAAATAGCGGTAAAAGAGAAGCAACAAATTATAACACCGTACTATTGTTGCACGTTATACGGATGGATGGTATAAACATAAAATTAATTAATTAATTAATAATAATTTTTTAAATTTAATTTGGATATAAATAAAATCTACGGGTCATGTTTCGTTACTAATTTGAAATTAGTATCACAAACAAATACGAAACACCGAATGCTATAATAATAATGGCAATAAAAAAAAACACCAAGTAGATGAAATTGTAATTATCAAAATGGGAGAAAGACGTCACGTTATCTCAAATGCAGAGTGGAACATCGAGATGATAAATTTCCCATTATCATGACATAATTCACACGGGACGTTTTCCAGAGTACGCGCTCGATAACTCTTTCGAATCTCCAATTTCCAAATAATATCTGTTTGGGAAAGTAATCCTAGAGATAAGCTATCAGCCGCGAATGTGTCAAAGTTACGAGAAAGACAAGGCGCCGCTTATACGCATTCGAAGAAAACTGTTTCCACGAATAACCGTAACCATGTTCGACTTTCCAAACCATTCGAGGAATAATTTGAAATAAGTTTTGGAGAGCGATGTAATCCTATCGACGATTTCTCAATCCAAAAATAAAATAAGTTCCCACGAGGAATAAAGTTGTCATTGAATTGCTCGACCGAAGAATCTTTAACCAAATTTCTACTCTGATTCAGATCGATGTACGAAGCGCGCATCGTATCAAGAAATACTTATGGTAGAATTGGAACACGAAGCCGAACAAGAATAATCTGAAATCGATACTAGAATACCGAAACTAGAACAATAACTTGCGGAGCATGAAAATAACAAAATATTCAGTTCGAGAGATCGCGGAGGATTTTTAATTTAGCTGTAGATAAAATCTATTGGTCACGTTTTGTTACTGATTTGAAATTCGTAACGCAAACAAAAGTATTTTTCAAGCTCAGCTCGTTAGAACATTTTTGGTAAAATTGGCTGAATTCAATCACTGCAGTAGTTCAGCGATAAAAGATTTGTTTATTTTTGTATCGAACATTACGAGAGGCGTTGAACGACACCCGTGTCGCATTCGTCAAAAAATTGTTCGAAATAAATATTTGCTTGAAATGTTATTTTCTTTCGCTGTTAATTTTGTTCCTTTTCCACTGTAGTCAAAATGGTTAAAATTATACACACTCAGAATTCACGAATCATCCACGTTTTAAAAATCATCAATATTTTTAATATTATTTTCTGCGAATTTTATACAACATCAAACATTTCGAAAAATATTTAAAAACTTTATTGCGACCCCAAATGCAATATAAATTTAAAAACTGTTACATTCTCAAAACGTTACAGAAAGATTTCCACACCGAAAATAAAAGAAAGTGTTATTATTGTGCTCCAGAACATTTCGTTGCAAATTATCACGCACCAGTCGAAATAACAAGAAAATTATTCTTCTTAAATATTTTCCAAATGTCAAATCATTTTTAAACTATTACATTATTTTCGTAAATCGATCAATAATTCGATAAGCACGAAAATGCAAACGAATCTTTCTCCCGGTGGCTGTTTAATCATTTCGGAGTTAGGAGGTTAACGCGACCATGATCCCGGGTACACAACGCTTGACCTTAACAATGATCCTACGAATTACCGCGTCTCGCGCGACGAGAAACAGAGGAACACGCGTAAAGGTTACTGTTGCAGTTTCCCACCAATAAATTCACCGCACCGAGACAGCTGTAATTCGTTTGATCGTCTCCGCGACAAAACTTTATTCGCAGTCTGGCACCAGTCTGTCTCGCTGACTAATCGGCCACGATTTCCACAAGGACTGGCCACGTCCCACGATCAGTCGAATCGTAGTTAGCGATATCCGTATCTACGTATCGATCAGTCATAATTTTCCCCTCCGGCTACGAGTTTCGGCAAACAGAAACTGGAACGATACCAGATTTCGTGAACCCCGCACAAGTTACGTCCTTGCGTTTGATTACGTACAATGTGTTTGCTAAACACAGTATGTTTTTTAAATGTCCGATTTCCGCCGTTTAAACGCAATGTTAACCTTCAGATAGCGGACGAGGTCACTCGTGGTCAGAGATGGTCAATATCCTCAATTAGATAACAATATCGAACAGTCGGAAAAAAGAAAGAAATATAACCTGATACTCGTTCAATGGGAATACGAATTTTAATTAGGGAGCATAAATTTGAACAATCAATTTAGACAGTGAAATTCGTATTAATATTACTAATGTAACTCGTTTATTTGGTAATATTCGTCTTAAATTAACCAGGTTTAATGTTGTTTAGATCACAAACATCAATTTATTATTAAAATATATATATATATCGGATCTAACAATCAGGTTACTTCCTACAGGTCATCTTAATATTGTTAATGCAAGTCATTTAATTATTATATTTCTGGTTAAATTGGCTAGCTTTAACTTTATTTAGAATCCCCATACTCGAATTTATTATTAGGCCGAGTATTTTCAAAACACTTTCCTTGTTCAATCAACAAACTTAAGACAAGTTCTCTGTAAGTTTTCACATCACAGTTTTCACACATACACTTGTTGTTCCATCATCGTTGACATAGTTATCTAATAAATAGAATAAAGATTCTTCGTTTCCACTGTAAATATATTTCTTAAGTCACAGGTATAATTGCAGAAATAACAGAATAAAAGATTTGCTCCAACGCCAATATACCTCATCGATTATTTCTTTCAAATCCACATAAATCAATTCCATCGCAAACATAACGAAATGTCTTAACGAAAAATCACACTGAACACGTTCGTAAGGCAAGGAGTAATTTTATTCGAAAGGAAAGCACGCGGCTGATATTGTAATTGCCGCGAAAAAAGTCAGATCCGTATCGAAAACGGTATCGTGGGCTCGAAATGATCGAGACGAGAATTCAAACAGTTCGATAAGTCGATCGATCGCATCGACGCCATTGATCGTGACGTCTGTCGGCGCGAGAAAATATCACACGTCTATATACCTCTAACTTCAACTCCGACAAATTGCTCCGAATCGATAGATAAATGAAAATTAAAGTACAGATGTTACTTCTGTCGCACCTTTAACTGACGCAGAACACAAGATGCCGATGAGGCAGACCCAGGCGATCGTCATCTTGAAGTGGCTCGTAGATTTCATGCACATCACAACAAAAAAACGCACTGACTTAACCTCCTTATTTGGCGAAGAAACTGCCGGCGTCGATCGCGCGTTCCAAACGGACGGAGCACAAAACTCGACGATGAAACTGTCGCGAGTGGCGATTCAACGTGAAACACGAGGACAAAACGAGGTAGAAACTAGAGACGTGCGACGTCAATTCGAATACAAGTGTCCCGACTCGACACAAGTGCCAACCAGATAGCTCGGCGCGCGAAGACCGTCTGCCGCGCGCTTTGCTTTCGGACCGCTTCGTGAGACATCGGCACGAGCCGAGATCGTCCGAACGCTCCGATCCCCCGATAGCGTCGTTTGATAGCCGTTGTACCTACTTTCGCGCCTAACGTACAAGTATGTACAATACACGGACTTTACCGTACGCTTACTATTTACAAGTAATTTTAATATTCCGACACTTCCCTAGTTTACTTTGTCTAAGAAGGATAGTAGAATCAAAGCAAATATCATAATTAGACCGTGGATCTTTATGCATTTATAGGAAATTTGAATGTCCAAGAAACTACAAAATGTAAACAATATGCAAGAATATAAAAAAGGTTGAAAGTAAAGGTGATGTTATAATATTTGCAGAATAAAATGGAATCCTATTTAGGTTCAATTTTTGTAGACACGTTCGCGAAGATTTGATTCTGCATAAAGATCCGCAGTCTGATCGTAATAAATTGAGTCTAAAAGGCATAAAATTTTATTTAACCTCTTCAGGGACAGTTCTTTTTTACTATCAAATTTTTGTTCTATTTATTATTGACAGCAGTTATAATTATGAAAAAAACTAAACTTCCACATATATGCCCAACGGCGTGAAGAGGTTAAGTCGTAATGTTTCTTGTGAATCAATACTCGAAACGATATCTCATTTTTACGATATTTTAACCCTGACAAACTTTTCAAGTTTCGATCTATTTCTTCTAACCTACATAAACGATATCAATTTAGAATGCACAGGTTTCTAATTACGAATCGTTGGCTTTACATATAAAGTCTTGAACTTTTCCTCCCAGCAGGCCTGCACTATATTACTATAAAATGCGCGAGTTTCTAATTACGAACGGTTCGTTTTATATTCCCACAAAAACAACGGGGGCTCGTAAGACGAGCAATTATTAACCATAAACGTAAGAGAAGCGTAAGAAATGGTTTCACGGTCCACAGGTTACACAGCAGAGGGTCTGCGAAGGAATTATCGCGGCATTGAACCTAAGAAAAGAGGCTAAACGCACGTCAAGATAGGAGTGGTTCCTTACAGGTACAGAGATATCGAGGGACGATACTAGATACCTAACCCAAACAGCCGCGATTGGACCAGATGCAGCCACGAAACGCGTAAGTGTACGACCATGTGTATCATTACAATGCTTTCCTATCGATGTTTACCCGATGATAACGTTGCTAGGTCCTACGAACGCGATTCTCCGCGATGGCGTACGTGACCGATACATCGAAGCCGTGCCATTTGGAACCACGGAAGCTGCGACGCACACCAAAGGACTAAGGAGACACATCGAGGACCCGCTGCTCCGAAATTTATCAGGAAAGGTAGGATCCACTTATAGTTTCCGCGATACATGCTATTCGGATGAACACACGGCTACCATAGAGAGTAGGCGTATCCCCTTAACATAGCCACTTAAAACTTTTCTGTTCCTTTTACAATGAGTTTCAGCACGAGATGTAAATTCATTTCCGTTTTCGATAAAGTTTCGCACGGGATAGGTAGCAATTTAAAGTTTCGCGGCACGTACGGGAGGAGATTGAAAAAAGAAATTTTCATTTGAAATTTTATTTTCCGGTTTGTTGGTTTTCGAACGTGGATTTAATTGCTTCGAACAGTTGGAAAGGAAAGTTGTATCCCGTTGCGGTTGGCTATTATCGATAAGGATCGATGCTGATTCAACACGGCGGCTTGACGAACCGTCGCGAACTCTTCTGCGTTTGTTTACCTTTCGAAACTTGACGTTAGATTTATCGCGGCGACGCGATGAATTATAATGTACGAGGATCGTGCTAACCCTATCGTTAATGTAGTTACGGATAATAAGATCCTTAAATGAAAGTTCTGATTTGCGGTCAAGCAATCTCCATACCCCAGACCACTGTTTCTGGATCGCGATAGAGGGACACTTGTACGGATTCGGCTAATCGAGTTGGTAACTATTGTGTGAGCGCACACGTACGCGTAATCACGTTACCACAAGCCAGTCGAACCCGCTCCCGTTGTCTAAAATGGCTATACGAGTAATAATATGTAATGACACTTTTATTGCGCGCATATGCTATTCAAAAGCGACGTACGTGTTCCCAGGGTACTTGCGATGATTGCGCTGTTGTGACTGTTTACCTAACAAACAGCTTATATTTCTCTTTGCGGTTCTCGATATGGCAATTTCAAAAAGAAGGAACAGTCGTATAATACTCGCTTATTACTGTATTCCTCTACTTTATGTTAACGATGCAATCGAAAGAAAATATCGAGGCGATGCACCTGGTCGGAGGCAACCCAACGTACACGGGCGCATTGATCCTCCACGATCCTCGCAGTGTATACAGTAGACTTCCGTATAACGCGAAAAACAATACAAACATAGGAATTCATTCATTTAAAAGTTGAATGTTACACTGGTTTCTTCATTGTTTCCAGCATCTTCTGTTTCGTAGTTCTCTTTTGACGCCGACTCAGGATTTAGAATTTTGGGGTCAGAATCATTTGTATAATAGATGTGTAGCTTTAGTCTGCCTAACATGTATAATGGCGCAGGTTTTATGCAAGTCGTTGAATAAAAACAAAAATAGCGACAATGACTGTCTTTGGAATTGTTCTTCTGAGGATTTAAGTACGACACCCATGTCTAAATTTAATACGACCGTAAAAGGTTAAATTAAAAAAAAGTGTTTTTATATCTTTGATAAATCATATATGAATGATTCAGATTACAAGGACTCGGCAGGTCGTAGTTAAAGAAAATTTCCGAGCCCTGCCAATTTGCACGTACGAAACATGTTTTCTCTATCACTATCGAGTTCTGTATATTACCGTAATCAAGCCACCCTTACGCATTCAATCAATAGGAATTCATGTAACTTGAATGCGTGTCCATTGCTTTGATTAATATTCGAGATCCTTTCAATCTAGCCCAGCGGATCGTAGGTGGTATTTATTTAATACGAAATCTGCTTTGATATGAACGCGTTCGTTGCACATCCACATTGCCATATTGTACGTTATCCACGTATAATAATTTTCACTGAATTACACGGTATTGTCAGTGTGATTAGAATTAATTACAGTCTCAACCAACGCTATATAAAATGTAACGCATAATAGCGTAATGCGAAAATAAATTCGCAAGTTTGCGCGTTAATCGATCGTGTTTGGTTATCGCGTTATAACTTGTTCCTAACCGTGGCCTCCAGAGTTTGTGCGTATCGACTTCAGTTTCACAGGCCATCGTAACGTTATTTTCACGGCTGCGAACCGTAAAAGCTTAAAAAAGTATACGTAGCAGGGCGCTGACAATTTTATAACCGCATTTTAAAAGCCATGCGCCCTCGTCGGCTTCCACGCCTAGCATATCGGCTTTAAAAAGTTATCGGGGCGCGGATTACGCGAGTAAAAAAAAGTTGAAGGGAAACATCTTATCCTTGAATGTGAAGTATTTTCTCTACACAGCCATGCGTAACACGCAAAATACCTCTCTACCCCTGAACGACAAAATTGGATTTTCTAGGGTTGGCTCGCATTCCCCTGAAAAACGTCTCGCGGCGTCTCGTGTTAATTAACGGGCATTAATGATGTCTAGACACTTAAATTTAAACGTGTTATACGAGAAGTTAGCCCGTGTGATGGGAATACGGAAGCAAGGACGTTAAGAATATTAGCATTTATCATTCGCGTTGGTTGCGGGAGCGTTGTACAAAAATAGATTTACGGTTTCCAGGTTGTTATTATGCTAACTGGATTTGTTGTTAACCGCTTTACACTGTAGGCAGTTTTAGAATCGCAGTTACCGCCGTTCCCGCGCTTTCTCGCGTCCACTTGTTCTCCCGAGTAACTGAAACGCGTACAGTGGGTATAAAAAGTATACAACGATTAAGTTCAAATGGAAGTTTATATGATTACATTTATTATTCGATTTTTATGAAACAGATCATTACCCGCAAAATGCACCGTTTTTAAATACTGGCTCCCACTCGTATCGGTTACATCGGTGAAGGTTGAATAATCGGTCTCTGTTTCGCTGCTAAACGCGCTGGTATCGCGCTTACATACAACGTTTTTATCGCGAATTTAATTTAAGCTAAATTAAATATCGGGGCATGCATGAATTACAAGCGTTTTACATTAATGTGCATTCATTAAAAATGTTCACTCGTACGTTTTAATCTCCTGCGCGGATTAGTTTAATTTCCTGTCTCGTTTGAGTTGTGTGTAATATTTTGTTGATAATATTTCGCATATTGCCAAGCATGAAGGGATTACGGTTGATTAGTATTCGAGGAGGGTGAATGTTAAAGAATGGTTAATTTTGGAGTAGCTAGGGTACTTAAATTATTGATGAGACATTTGTTATATTTCGATTAATTATGAACTCATCGATAATTTAGGTGCTTGAGGTATCCCAGAATTAACCACTTTTTTTAACATCTCTCATTTTATATTTCTTACCAAGAATAATTAACAGTAATCAAACATGAAAATTTCTACACCAATAATTTTGACTTATTGTCAGGAGTTTAATTTCCTGCTATCATACTAGAACCAATGAATTAATTTTGCAGATATATCAATATTTTATGGCGTACACGTGGAAGCGTTTAATATCAAATTGTGTGTAATAGTTTGGCAATGATAACATTTCGAGCATTGCCAGGTATAAAGGGATTGTTGTTGATTGATGTTCGAGAATCGAATTCCAATATCATTTGTCAAGGATAATCAGCGTTAGTCAAGCGTAACAATTTTTACACCAACAACTTTTATTTCCGTGCAGGCTATCGCCCGCCGGCATACTAGAACCGATGAATTCACTTTGCAGTTACATCAACATTCCGTGGTGTACACGCGGAGGCATTTAATATTGCTACAAATATTTCCCTGGCGTGCCCATAAATCGTGGATCGCTGCACCTCTGAGTTGGTAACGCCGGATGTAGGTATTAAAATATCCCGCATACCCATCGTGCAAGTATATGTATTACTTCGAACTCGGGGCCTC